CTTCAAAATCTTACAAAGTAAAAATGATATAACTTTTTATATGTACAAAATAATCAATATTATAGAAGATTTCACGTACCACATTGGCGGGAACACTAGCAGCTGTCTTTTCTTCAATTTTACTATCTGTTTTGGCAACTCGAAGAGAACTTGCAGGATCAGAAGCTTTTTCAACCTAGAGATGAATATATTATCGCTCCTAATTATACATAAGCAGTATACAATTATGCATAAATACATACGTTAACAAATCAGAGAGTAACGTTAAGAAAATACTCATTCTGATAATAAGGAATGTGAGAAAACCCCATAAAATGACCATTCTCTACTGTAGAAGGGCAGAGAGCAGGGGAGGGCTGAGGATGCAGCCCAGCACTGTTTGGAAAGTTCTTGTGGTTGGGGGAGAGGATGCCTCCACCCCAGGGGCATGAGTACCAGTACCCTGTGCACACCTGTACTTCCCCTCAGGTCCTCCCCTGCCTTCCTGGCGGCTCAGGCCATACCCCGAGTGGCCCCAGGGCTCAGCAGAAAGTTTCAGGTTGGAAAAAGTGGCTAGTAGAAGTTCTTGCCACAAGAACTGAACAGTGTCTTCCGGAACACTGTCTGCAAAGATGGAATCTGGCAGCCCGTAGCCTGCAGGTCTAACTCAGGTGACTATCATAGGCATGGAGTGTAGCTAGAAAATCTTCACCAAATCACACATCAGATGCAAGCCCCTGAGCAGTGTGTCAGCCATGCCCGGATGGTTGTGTTTGTGTCTTTTCCCGAGACAGCTAACTCCCACCCAGATTCTGATTCTTACTAGGCATTATATTGTAACCAGCAGGTATCTAAGGCCAATTAAGTACTTAAGAAGCACAGACCTAACCTGGGGGATATAAATTCTCTGTTACTCACTGATGTCCACTCTAACATCTGCTCTTTTAGAGCTTCCTGTTTATAGAACTGCTTATGAATATAATGTGGGAAGAGTTTTCCAGCAGAAAATTAGATAAGCCCTTGAAAACTGACCGGCAAGACCTCTGGATGTTTCTCGGCTTCATCATCTTGTTCTTCATTGACGTTTGATGCAGCAAATACTTCGAACTGGCTGAAATCTGCAAAATTTGGTTGCTCTGGTATCTGCTGAGGTGAGGTACTAGTGTGAGTGATTAGGCCATCAGCATCCACTGGGCGATGCACTACGGGACCAGGAGCCTACACGATGGGTTAGGATGGAGGAACACACATTTTGTTAGTCTATCACTGTCAGCGACCTTCTTCTTTGAAAATATACTGTAGAGATGCTTTGTTATCTGTAAATTCAGGGAGATGAGCGACGGCAGCATATATATATAGCTCTAAAAACCATTAAGTGGAATGCTGAGACACTCAAAAAATTAAGATGACAAACCTTCAATAAGAAAGATACTTTTACAAAATTCATACTGCAAAGAAAGTACATCAAAGGAGAGGGAGGGTCTGGCCCTACTCTCTGACTCTCCACTTCATCCACTTTTTTCTTAATTATGCTACTGTACAATAGTTTGCGCTTTTAACAAATTTTTTTTAAAAGTTTCATTATGTTTCTAAAAAGGTTAAAGTGTGAAAACCACTGCTCTAACTATCCTCCCAACACTTCAGTGTACTTCCCTTCAGTTTGTCCTCCACTCCCTTGCCAGAGCGATCCTTCTAAAATCTTCAATCCAAAAACACAGGTGAGTATGTAACTTTTGGCCAAGTGCTATGGAAATAATAGTGAATGAACAAATAAGGCCGATGCCCTAATGAAGCAGACCATGCAGTGCAGGGTAAGAGACAAGTACAAGGACTTGAGACACAGTGTGAGGAGTTTCATGACAACGCAAGTACAGGATGCTATAGGAATAAATCTGCAGTCTCTTCCCTGCTTACACCCTTGAAACATTCTCTCTCCTATAAGAAGAATTCTGTCCTTCTTAGTACTATACAGAGATACTTTGCCCCTTTCCCACCTCTTCAGTCTCATTCCCCATCACTCCAGTGGTACTGAACCAACTCCTGTTCCCTGGAACATGCCAGACCATGTTCATTCCTTCTGACTGGAGTGCCCTCTCTCCGATCTCTCAAGTCTATGTTTAAAGTCTCACTTCCTTCATTTTACTTACACCTTTCCAATGTGATCCTTGACTTTACTAGTTAGTCAAGCTGTGCTGAAGCACTTCATAAATACATCTAGCACAGCCCTCCTATTATAATTGTTGTTTATAGGTCTATCTTCCCCACTGGACTGGTTCCTGAGTCAAGTGACCAACTCACTGGGTTTCACAGTTCAACCTAATGTAAGTATTTTCGTTGGTACTTTAGATAAATGAAATATTCAAATTTCAGTGTCTTTTATGATTAAGAAACCATCTTTTTAACTTCAAATAACCAACTTCACTGTAAGAATCTAACTCAAAAAATCAACCAAATTCATTCATGTAAAAGGTAGTTGGCCAGTCACATAAAACTATCAGCTATAATCCAGAATCTGTCTTAGAACATACCAAATGGAAACAATTTCAACCTGGCAGGGATGAAGAGGTCATCTTACATTTCCTTTACTAACAGAGTAACATCTCCAGGGAGATGCAGCAAGGGCATGGAGCCTCTGCGAGACCCAGGACACACAGGGACATCTCCTATCCCCCAACCCACTGTTCTCTTCACTAAACCTTCCGTTATCAAGATATTATCATTTGGTCCACTTTTAAGTTTCTTTAAAAAAATAACTCTAATCATTACTCTTGACTTTCAAAATAAGACTTAGCTTCCCTGAATAAAATGCTCATTAAGAATGACAATTAGGTAATTCCTGATTTTCAAAATAATTCTAGAACAGAAGCAAACCTTAACTGACAAATATAATTGTTCAGTAATGAATACGTTGAAGAATTACCTGTGAGGGCTGTGGTCTTGGAGGCACTGCAGGAGGATGGGCAACAACTCCAGCCTGTTGTTGTCCTAAGTAAATATACAAGTCGTCTTCTTAGTAAATACGTACTTCGCTAGTAGAACAAACAGGCTGAGTGAACGTGATCAAATGATAAAGACTTCTAAGAATGCTTGTAAATATCGGAAGGCATTTATTATCTTGTAAAACTATCTAGATATGACCTAATGACCAAGCCTCACGGCCTTTTCTCAGACCTCATATCTTCCTTTTTTTTTTTTTTTTTTAAGGGAGTTATTTTATTTTGTAGGCTCCACACCCAGAGTGGAGCCCAATGTGGGGCTTGAACTCATGACCCTGATATCCAGACCTGACCTGAGATCAAGAGCTGGACGCTGAACCGACTGAGCCATGCAGGCACTCTATCTCAGACCTCATTTCTCGTTCTATTGCACAAGGCACTCTTAACATGCTTGTTTCCATAACACTAAACATTCTTGGCTTTCTTCTATTTCTGAATGTTCTTCAGCTATAAAATATGCAGACTTCCAAATTTTCTCTTTGCATTTAATACTTTACTCAATCATTTCTATGTAAATGATTCTCAAATAATACAATCTTTCTTAGTCCACACGTCCAGTGGCCTACTACTACAGCCCCTTTTCCTCATCATTCCAAACCTGTAACGTCCAAAAACAGAACATCATCACCCTCTGCTCCTAACTTTTCTATTTTGATCAACATTTATTAATAACAATAAAACCAGTTATATAAAAATTAAAACCTTGAAGTTATGAGTCTTCTGTCAGCTAACTGAAGACCTATCAGCTTTCCCTCCTTGATCTCTCCACATGGTTGTTTTAAAATCTCTTGTGGCATGTCTCAGGTTCCCATCTTTATCATTTTCACTCAAACACATTAAGAAAAAAAAAAACTTCCTCTCCTCTGACACCTTTTAAACTCAAAATTTTTCTTCCGTTAACTAAAAAATAAGACACAGTAAGAGAAAATAAAATAAAATGTTGTACTCTTTAATGAACTTTAAAATCAAACGATAATAGATATATTATGGTTCTCCAACCCCTACCTGTGGTGACTGCAAAGGTCCGATTCATATCTAAAGAGGATGATCTGGAATGAGAAGGCTGTGGCCTTGGAGGGGGAGGTGGTGGTGCGGTGTTATCAGGTGACGTTCCTGAATGAGACCTGTAAAATTCACCCCGTTACAACTGGTCATGCTACTGGTATTGGAGCTTTTTTCTTTTTAAAGCGTTCAAACTTGGCTAAGCAGCAAAGGATCTTATAGGTGTGATATTTTCTCAAGTAGGTATATAAGTATTACAATGAATAAGGACAGGATTGTTTATGATATGCATTAAACAAGTAATTATTTAATGTGGCAAATAATCTTTTTATGAAGCATTATACATTTTTTAAAATTTCAAAAAATTTGAAAAAAAGTTTATTAACATGAATTCAAGGTAGACACAAACCTAGTAACATTTTCCTGTTCAATTAAAGATAATATTAGTTTGAAAAACCATTTTCAAAAAAGGGAAGCTTCACTTTCAGACATGGTTAGCTTTCACCTTATTTAAAGTTTGAAGTTAGGTAAATGGAAATCGAATGTGGCTCGGCTACTTGAGGCGCCCACCCCTGCACCCCACAGGCAATTTCACTATACTGCTGGCCGTGCTCATTCTGCATCCGCCCTAGAGATTCACTTTTTGCCAGCAAGTGTTCTGTAATCTGAAGAAGAATCTCCTGGACTCTGGAATCTGATCCTCACTTATAGGGATAAAAAGGAAAATAAAATCCAAGATGACTGAAGAGAAATAATTCTACAAAGCAGCAGTCTTTGACTCTGGAAGTTCTTCTGAGATTCTATATTACTAGTCTCTCTCTATATTCTCCAAGCCTGTGGCAAAAGGATACTTAGCACGTATAAAGATGAGGGGAAAAAGATGATTCTGTCCTGCACACAATTTTTAGTGGATGGTTAAGCCCTTGCAGACAAATCCCTTGCCACCTTCACCCCATCCCATACCTTTTTTATTTGTGCCTGAGAAGTTATATGCAACAAAGATCTTCAGGGTAGGTAGGTAGCCCAACACTAGGGTGTGTGCTTCCAGATAGCATTTTAAAACACAGAATTCTGTGGGCACTTGCCATAAGGCTATACAAGGAATCTGTACATTTATTACTTAGACTCTCAACTGTTTACCTACAAAAAGGACTGTATTAAACTGCTAATGCTACTACAGCTCTTTTTAGCCCTTCCACAGAATACCAGGGGAACAATAAGGGATCCTCTTGCTTTCCTATTAAAGTTGGAAAAGAATCAAAATTATTTCCCTTCTATGTAAATCAATAGGTAACCTAACAGACTTCAGAGAACTAAAGAATAGAGGAAAATAATTCATACTTGGTTCTAAAATAATTCTTAGTATTATAACAAGATATTTTAATATACTTTTTATTGACAGAAATACTGACCTTTGATGAGTTACATTGTTTCCAATCTGTTCTGGGTCTGAAGTAAAAGAGTCTGAACTACTGTACCCATCTGCTGATAAATGGAATATATCCTATTTAATAATAATCTTTTATTCACTTTTTACCCTATATACTCTAAACAAATATAGTAACTATTATTTCAAATCAGAGATATTTAAAAACTGGCTAATAGGTTAACAGTTCACCCTAGTGTTAATAAATGTAAAAAATTACATATCAATCATGGCATATTTACACAATGAAATACTACACACAAAACAAGTTATAATCTAGAGAAGTAAACATAGGAATAAAAATATGCTTAGACAATAATAAAACTTACGAGATTAGCCAGAGACGTTCCCCATTTTTCACCTGAGAAAATATCATTTCCAAATCCTCAAAATCTTATAAAGGAGCAGAGTCCCAGAGGCAAACTAATGGTTGTGACGCAATGACAAATTTTAAAATAGAAACTGAGGGACAGTGTGAAGGAACACTGCTACTTACTTTCAAGGATTATAAATTGAAGGGACTGGTTATTTGGTTTAGCTTCATTTCAAAATGTATCCCTTTCCTTTTTCTTAGCAAATAACTGAATTGTTTTATTGGTACAGGAAGGATGCTAAAACTAATGCATTTCCATTTGGATGTACCAACAGGCATCTCAAACCTGAGATGTCCAAAACACAACTTCTTTTTTTCCCCCAACAAAACTACTGTTACCACAGCTTTCCTCAATTCCCAATGGCTCAGACCAAAATTCCCTGAATCACCCATGACCTCCCACTCCCATCCTATATCATGCAGGTAAACAAGTCCTATGCTCTTTTCTGACAAAATATGGCCAGAATCTGACCACTTCTCAGAAGTGCTGAGAAGTGCACTTCTACTGCTATCACCCTAGGCCACACCATCCTCTTCTCTTCCCTGTGTTATTCTAATTGTTTTTTAAATGGTCTTTCCTGTTTTGACTCTTGCTTTCTTCAGGCCTATTACTAATACAGCATAGTGATCCTCATTAAAAAAAAAAAAAAAAAAAAAAAGGAAGGTCAGACTACATCACTTCTCCATTCAAAACCTCCTAATGGCTTTTTATCTCATTCAGTAAAAGTCACTCTTACACTGCTCCCTAATTACTACTCTACCACTTGCTACTTCTGCCTGCCAAATACGCTAACTGATTCTATTCCAGGTGTTCGCCTGCTGTTTCCAGGAGAAGGCAGTTCTCTAAATCAGGGCTTCACATGTGCTGTTTCCTGTGCCTTAAATGTCCTTCCTTCAGATATTCATAGCTGAATCCCTCATCTCCTTCAAGTTTTAACCCAAATGTCATCTTTTGGTAAGGTCTTCTTTGACCACCTTATTTAAAATGTCACTCCCTCTTCTCTTTCCCAGATTTTTTTTAAGATTTTATTTATTTATTTGACAGAGAGAGACACAGCGAGAGGGAACACAAGCAGGGGGAGTGGGAGAGGGAGAAGCAGGCTCCCCACGCAGCAGGGAGCCCGATGCCAGCTCGATCCAAGGACCTGAGCCAAAGGCAGATGCTTAATGAGTGAGCCACCCAGGCACCCCTCCCAGCTTTATTCTTATCCAGTGTGTTAATTATCTCCTAAGACAGGAGTTAAGATTTTTTTTCCCTCTTATATCCCCTACAGAATGTAAGCTCCATAAGGGCAAAGATTTTCTCTGTTTTAACTGATGAATGAATCCCCAGTGTCTAGAACAGAGCCTGCCACATACTATTCCTTCAACATAGGCTGAATAAATGAATGTACACACAATTTCTTGTAAGACAAAGGAGCAAGTGGGAAGTTCACGGACTAAATGTGGTTAACTGAGAGGGATGGCAAACAGAAGCAGGTCCAGGTGGCAATAAGCAACCATTTACTCATACAGAGGGTAGGGTATTTAAAAGGGTTGACTAATCTCTACTTTATTCAGTAAAGGTAATATGAAATAGCTATACATTTGAATTATTCAGATTCTAAATCCAGACTTAATCAACTTCAAATGAAAACTGTAATGCTATTTTTCACTTACCTACAGTATTTCCAGAAGCAAATTTCACCGATGAATTTATCTTACTTTCCTCTGACAGGTCAGATGGTTTCACAAGTAATGGGCTAGTGGGATTAGTGTGATCTAGTAGAGAATTAACAGGTAAAAATACAAGACCTGAATTAATAAATTCATAAACTTCAGAGTATAAGACTTCATTTATATATTCCAAAGAAGTAGCAGGTAAACCTCATGAGATATAACACAAAATAGCATTTTTAATAAAAATATAAGCTTGTTCATATAGAATTTTGTTTTCTGCTGTAACAGAAAATAAGTTATGACAAAAAAGTCAACTTGCATGTTCATACTTTATTAATTTTATCCCTTCAGAGTAATTGCTTAAAATATCACACAAATGGTTGTAAAATAAGTAATTCATAATGTTCACTTATATAGAAAATAAATATACTCCTGAGAAAATATACCTCTAACTAAAACATTTAATCTAAAATGAGAAACTTCAAGAATTTAAGCAAAACAATTTCAAAGCCAAAAATTATTTTAACATATACCTCTTCAGTTAAAATCTGAACATACTTTAATGTAAGTTCACAGCAGTTATCATAAAAACCCACAGGGTAGGGGAATGTGGGTGGCTCAGTCAGTTAAGCGACCAACTCTTGATTTTGGCTCAGGTCATGATCTCAAGGTCTTGAGATGAAGCCCTGCACGGGGCATGGAGCCTACTTAAGATCCTCTCTCCCTTTCCTTCTGCTCCTCCTAACCCCTCTCCCCTACCCTCTGCTTACACGCACTCTAAAATAAATAAATAAAATCTTAAAAAAACTACAACCTACAAGGTATTAGAAAAGTTGCATTTCCAAGTGTCCTTATTTTTAAACTTTATAACATAAATTCAACAGTTTCCCTTTTCTTAAAAAATTTTAAAAGATTTATTTATTTGAGAGAAGGAGAGAGAGAGCACATGCAAGGGGAGAGGGAGAGAGAGAGAATCCTCAAGCAGACTCCCCACTGAGTTTGGAAGCCGACACAGGGCTGGATCCCAGGACCCTGAGATCATAACCTGAGTCAAAATCAAGAGTTGGGTGCCCAACCGACTGAACCACTCAGGCACCCTTCAACAGTTTCCTTTTTGAAACTGTAATATAAACTGAACCATACAACCAAACATATATATGTGAAGTAGTAGAAAGTACCGTTAAAAAATAAACAATTACGGAGCAGAGGCTGCTGGGAAGATGGCGGAGTAGGACCTCCCTGTGCTGACCTCTTGCGGCGTGGCCGCCTAGAGAGCACCCACGGCGGCATAAATAACCCAAAAAGCAGCCCGAAAACTGGCAGAACAGACTCTCCGCAGCCCGGCATAGACAAGAGGCCACAGCGAAGCAGATCCACCCCCTTTGATCGCTCTTGGCAAGATCCCATCAAAGTGGTGCCACAAGCCTGGCAGTGTGTGCGTGGCCCAGACAAGGTAAGCACCACTCCAGAGTGAGTCCTGCCCCAGGGAGAGGGGAAGATAACCACACACCCGTCTGACTGTGACCCCAGCAGTGGGCTGAGGGCGGGCAGCTGGTCTGACTGCAGGCCCCACCCACCAACAAAAGCTTCTCCGGGGACGACACAGGGACAGTGCCTGCAGTTTGGTGCTACTGCATCTCTGGCAAACATCTGGTCTGACTCGACTCAAACCCGAGGCAGCCCCGGAGCAGCCCACTAACACCACGGGCACCAGACTCTGCCCACAACAGGCAGGGAGCCATCACAGACAACAGGACTGAAGGCAAACACATCCCAGCCACAACGGTAGGACACCCCCTGGAGCAACACACATAGGAGACACCCCCTGAAGCACCAGCTTCTAGGGAACAGACATTGCACTGCAGGACCTCTTCTTCATAGAGCCACTACTTTCAAGTGCAGGAGACGTAGGTGACTTTCCTAACAGAAAAACAGACAACGCAAGAGACAGAATGAGGAGACAGAGGAATGTGTCCCAAATCAAAGAACAGGACAAAATCAGAGCACAAGACCTAAGCGAAACGGAGATAAGTAATATGTCTGATAGCAAATTTAAAGTAACACTCATAAAGATTCTCGCTGGAATTGAGGAAGGACTGCAGGACTTCCTTGAGACCCTCCACCAAGAGCTAGGAGATGTAAAAAAGAACCAGTTAGAGCTATTGGATTTACTAAATGGAAATAAAAATAGACCATCTGGAATAAATAGCAAGCAAGAGGAAGTAGAAGAAAGGACCAGCCACCTGGAGGACAGAGTCATGGAAAGCAATCAAGCCAAGCAGATGAGAGGGGGGAAAAATACACAGAATGAAAATAGACCCAGGGAACTGAGCAACGCTGTCAGGCCTAACAGTCGCATGATAGGGATCCCAGAAGGAGAAGAGCGAGGAAAGGGGGCAGAAGATTTGTCTGAAGAAATAATAGCTGAAAACTTCCTGAATCTGGGGAAGGAAAGAGAAATCCAGATCCAGGAGGCACAGAGAGCCCCCAACAAAACCAACCCAAAGAGGTCTGCACCAAGACACAAAGTAAATAAGACAGCCCAAAGTAGTGAGAAAGAGAGAATTTTAAAAGCA